GTGTTTTCATCTGTGTAAATTAGAAGTTGCAGTTCAACNTGTGTGCTTGCACATATGAGATAGGGGAAAAGAGAGAAGGAGGGGATGATCATACAGATCATGTCGGCATGAAGTGCAAGTGAGCCAGCTATGCCAGTTTTGTGACAAAAACTCAGAAAACATGCATGTAACTATTACAGCTCATAGCAGAGAAAGGACTAGCTGACACTAACAGGATTTATTATTTCCTATGTCTGAGTTGTTCACATTCTTACGGTACTAATATCAATGCCTACATTGTGTAAGGAAAGTAAACATGAAAAAACCCACTGTTTGTTCATGGAAAACATGTTCTGTTTGCTAAAGAGTTTTTCTCATTCTCTGATACTGTATTTCTTAACAGAGAGTACTGGAATATTTTACATCTGTAATATATATTTGATATAATTATATTTTATATCTGATTAAATTAAATGGTTAAAGAACTAAAACAGCAAGATCAGCTTTATACATTTACATCAATAACAAATTTAAGAAATGTAAATTATTATATATAGTAAGCAAATCATAGTATTTCTGATGCTCATCAGCTTTTATGCTTAAGGACTTCATAATGTTGATAACCTTAAAATGATTCAGCTAATAACTTTCTATGAACACCCTCAAACATAAATGAAGAACTTACTTTCATAATAAGTGGGATAACTAAGAAGATAACATGAATCAACTGAGAACCCTGGTCGTGCATCACCAAATATCTTTAAAAACAACAACAACAACAAAAAAAAAAAAAAAAACGGAAATTCATTCTCAGTGACGCCATCAAAATCATGTAAATGTTTGACATTAATCTCACCAAGCTAACTATCTTTTGTCCTTTCCTAAGGTAATATCCTGGTTGTAAAAAAAGAAATCTAATCTATAGTCAAATCACGTAAATATAAATTGTCATTAAAGGTAGTAACCACCTTTAGTTACAAAGATTTTTTCCGCACTGCACCTAATAAAAAGAAATATGGCCAGGAATTTCACTTTACAAAAATGTGCCATCTTAGTGTGGTAAACACATAATACAAAGACTTTTTGTGCTTCAGCTAATGAGAAAAATTCCAAAGAATGTTTCTGTTCAAATGTTTTAACAAAAAGAGTGGAAAAATAACATTATATATTATTAATTCAAAAATCAGAACTGCAACTTTGTGCCTTAAACTTTAATGTCAGTGTTTCATTACCAGAGCATGCATACAAAAAGGCTAAGATAAATTTGATATTTCTTACTCAACAGTTTGTGATTTTCAATAAAAGTTACAACATGTAATACCTTTTGATTTATATATAAGAAGAGATGCCTATGTGAAAATAGATGCCAAAGCTGTTTATCCTTTGGTTGTATAAAATGTGGAATATTACCCCTGCTACAGTTTGGAAATAATAACCATAACGCCTTTACCTTTAAAGCTTTCTTTTCTTTTTTCTAAAAACCACTGCTATAAATGCCGATTTTGGTGAAAAGTAACACACCTTTGACAAGTAGGTGTTTTCATCTGTGTAAATTAGAAGTTGCAGTTCAACACGTGTACAAAACATTACTAGTAAATCTCAGCACACTGAAGTAATATATTTTACTATAGCTGAAGATTTTCACCAAATCAAATTGTGGAATGAAAACAAAGTGGAAAAATGTGGAAAAAAAATGGTATCATTTGTATCCTTCTTTAGTTTTTATAAATCGTCTTTTAAATTAGAATGAATATTCCTGCCTGGGCCTTCGACTTCTCATACTATATGTTCATATTGCATTTTTTTATTTGTGAAACAGGTTTTTATTGGTCTCTTGTGTAAGATTGGTAAAAAATGTGAATTTTTTCTTAAGAGACTAAGTTTTTTACATAATGTGATTAAGATACTTTGATTATGGTTCAAACCTCTTGTCTCAAAGGTAAAAACACATAATAATAATAATAATAATAATAAGATTCTTATATGGTGCCTTACATTCTATCTCAAGGCACCTTACAATAATGGCTAATATACTAAAATCATTAAAATGACTACAATATTTTAATCATAAACTCTCATTGGAAACCATTTAAAATTTATACTACTAAAAATCAATCTTATTAAAAAAAAACATTTAGATATTAAAATAAAATCTAAGAGATATAGACAGAATTAAAAAAGTGGGTCTTTAAAAGAGATTTAAAATTGTCAAAGTCTTCTGTTTTCCTAATAAAATTTGGTAGACCATTCCACACTTTTGGGGCGTAGATTATAAAAGCACGATCTCCATAACTTTTTAGGCACCCCTTCTCTAAAACAGAATGTTCTAAAATAAAATCATTCTCAGTATTAAAACGTGTGGTAAAGTATTACACATTTAGTCTCTTGTAAATGATTTAATTTTTATACAGGAATTCAAACACAATTTCCCAATTTTGTACAAAGACAACCTTGGTCAATTGTAATACAGGGACTTGAAGAAACATAGTGTAGTTTTATATTATTGCCATCGTTTCTTAAAAACTTAAGAGCCACTGTAGAAGCAGCCTCTGTAGAAGCAGCAATTGAAAACAACATACCAAATTGAATGTGGAAGTTACAAATGAATGTTAGTCATTTATGTCCTGCTGTATGTGGTAATACTTTTATTCTTTAACTTTGAAACGTGTGTGTGTGAGACTTGTGTGGCCTAGGGGTGTTACCACAGGACCAAGAGGTCAGGGTCCTAGTAAAATGGTACTGCCAGTATTTTAGATACAATATCTTTTCATTTTGTTGGGGGAATGGCTGCTTAAAATGTCAATTTACCAGACTACCCCAAAAAATTATTGTACTGAATTGCATAACATTGTACCATAGAGCGAAACAAGTAATATTCAGTTATACAATGGTCAAGATTCAATGTCAAATGTATGGTTCTGAAGCCCATTGCTTGACTCGTTAGTTCTTATCAGACCCCATATCACTGTGACCACGACCCCTGCCCCTTACTCGCCCCTTGGGTTACGACCCTAGGCCACAGAATCCTGAAACCTATTTCGAAATTATGCAACATCCCCTTTGAGCAGTTGTAACAGGCTGACTTAAGGGCAAAAAGCCCATGACTACAGGGTACATGGGACAAAACATCGCCTCCTTTTACCCTGCCCAAAAGTTACCCAACATAAATAAATACTCAAACAAGATATACTGTTGCAGGTGAAAACTGATTTTGTTTAACAAAAGCAATGCCAGCAAAAGTTGGGCTCCACAAAACTGTGACTTTTGTCTTGCAATTTTCTCCTAACTTAACCAAGCAATCATGTGAAATAATGCATCAATTCAGCTGAGAAAATCATCAGACATTTCAATGACTTTCATACAGGAAAACGAGAATTCAGTGAGACAGAATTTAATTCAAACTCCAATACATTAATTTGCATTAATGCCATGCATAACAGTATTACCTTGCAAACACATTAAGCATTTAATATATTTTTTCATAATAATCTAAATTAAACATAAATACAAATCAAAGTAACATAAAAATACTGAATACAGATAGACGAAGTTTAAATAGATGAATGAATGGACGGAGAGATCGAACAACAAACAGCCAAATATGAGTTCATACCAATTTTCTCAAAATTATCAAGCTTCTTTTATATTCACAACTAGGGAAAATTTATCATGCTAGACTTATCCATTACCACACGGTGATAAGAAAATTCTTGATTCTTGTGACCCTTACATTACAAAATGTTTGGATCTCATTCCCAAATTTTTTTTCTGACAGATGGAATTCCACAAGAAACATATGGAAGACGGTCAGGTGAGACAGTTAACTACACCTGCAGATGAAGAATCATGGCTAGAAAGCTGTCTTGTATTGTCTGCACAAACTTCTCTTTCCAAAAAAAAACATGAAATTTATTACTTCTTATATCATTTTAAGAATATCAGAGATTTAAATAGCACCCAAAATAAAGATGAGGCAAGGAGATGAAATTCCAGATGAGAGCCCAGAAGATTAGGAAAATGATATAATTATATCAGTACATTATTCGCACTGTAATATATCAGAATATGTATAACTAATCATTATTAAAAGCATTAAACAAGTCAGTCATCGCCCAAACCCCAAAACCCCTTTCCAAGCTGCCTCCTTTTAACAGGCCTCAAATCATTACCTAATGGATTCTGCTTATGAGAGCCAAAAAAAAAAAAAAAGCTTATCCATCCAACACTCCACTTGAAAGACCTCCTATCAATTCAATTACCTCATGAATACAACTAATTAATATTTAAAAAAAACTCACAGATCCCCCCCCCCCCATAACAGGCTACTATCATTAAAGAAAGCATAATATGTACAAAAGTTAATGAAAATATTAATACCTCACACACCCCCTTCTGACAGGCCTCACATCAATTCCATTACCCCAGGGACACAGCTAATGAAAGTAAAAACACCTCATCAGGCTTCCTCCATTGATACATCCCAGTGGCCATTGTGTTGGATTTCCCATTCATCCTGGTCATGCCTTTCACTGTGTCACATAAGCGTGTGTGGCTGGATGCATTAACGCACACACCATCACTCAGGCTGGCAGAGATTTTTCAGGCTGATAGCTGTTGGGAGGATGTGATAAAATCTCTATAGGTTGTTTCACAATCAACAAGGATAAAGAAGCAGGAATGTGGCCCAACACCTGCGTTGTTGTTTGGCCAGGCAGAGCGTAATTGTGACCTCAGGTGCCTAGTTGGGAGATGTTCATGTTGAGGATAACTTGTCCAATTAATGATCATCTTTTTAATTCTATGAAATATTGTGCTTCAAAAGAGGGTGAGAAACTAAGGATTTTTTGCAGCAGTTAAGCCAGTGAGCTTCAATTAATCAAGTAACAGATTTTCCAAGTGTTTTAAGTTTTGGATTTCCACTTTTTTAAACTTAGAACTGGCAGAAACTGGATTTAGGATCCGATAAGATTTTTGTTAACAGTTTAGCTGACGAGGACTAAAATTCAGAATCTTCTTTTTAGAAATTCATGTGCTGTGGAAACAGATAAGGTAGGCCAACATTTAATATTTTTATCAGTAAAACGTCTCCCAATAGTCCAGAAAATAAATGATTTTTATGATGTTAGTCAAATGATCAACACACACACACACACACACACACACACACTAAGAGAGAGAGAGAGAGAGAGAGAGAGAGGGGGGAAGAAAGAGAGTTGTGCCAAGCAAGTCTGGGTGAGCCTGCTGCAAGCTCACTGACTCTGTGGTAGAGTAACTCTTATGAAGGCACTTGGAACAGAAGGAACAATATGTCACAGCTAGGATACACACGTCAAAACTACACAATAAATCTTCTCAGAAAACACTCCATCTTCATAGGGGTCGCGAGTGATGTAATGGTATTTTCTTGTCTTATTACTGTTCAACAACTTACATAAACATTACATGATATTCTGCCATTGAATTCCTTTTTGTACTTGAAAACCATTCAGACAATTGAAGTTTTTCAACATTTTTTACACATTTGTCATAGCTGGAGCCTTTTCTTATTCAGTCTATACTGGTTGTTTGGTTAGTTTAGAGATTACACAGCTTTAATTTTCATCATGGATACTCCCCTTACCCCCTATAAAATAATTTTTTCATAACAGGTTTTCATATTTTTGTTTCTTCTGAATCATGGAAGTATACAGGAATTGTTAACAGTTAGATTCTATTCAATAAATGATGAATTAATACCAGTACATTCATACAACAGCGTAATAAAGGTTCTATCATCTACACGAGATCAAAAAGTTCTTCACAAGAGGCTGAAGGAGCTGGTTGAATATCAATGGGGATAATTGTTAGATCTTATCCATATCACTGAAAAATGAAATCTTTTCATCCTTTCATTTCATCATGGTCTAGTAATCATAGTACCTGCATCGTACGTCAATGTCCGACTGGTGATGGCTTCTGAATGAGAACACACTCACCCTGGGTTTCAGAAAACAATGGCAACTCCCTTCTATATCATCAGCATGCATGTTACACACACTGGTTTCTACCTTTGAAACTCATGGCATACATGCTAGCTAGGCTAAAGGTACTGTCACACTCGACATAGATAGCAATAACCTATGAGAAAAATTGTCCACACACAGACAAACGCTATGAGTTCATTAGACTTGAGAGTCTGCAGGCAAACGTTGGTGAACCTTCGAATATGAAGAGGGAGCTAAAATGTTTTGAGCATGTTCAAATACAATTTCATATGCTGTGTTTATGTTCGTTCTCATATTCTGGAAAAAAGGGCAATTTCATGTGATTAAAGTTGTGCATATAATTGAATTCATATACAATACTCATATGTGCCTCTATACCTCTATACACAAGAGTGTGACAGAACCTTAGCCAGAGAAACTCTGAATCTATATAAATTTAAAAGATAGCAATACAGTAATCAAGCTGGTGTGCACACAGCATGTTTTCTTTAGGTGAAACTTTCATCCAGTTTGAACAAATTTTGAAGAAAAAGACTGCACCATAACCCAGTTACTTGTAATTAAAAGCACTGAACCAGCGCTTACTTCCATTTAAACTAATTCAGAATTGTGGTTTCACAAAAAGCACCCGCGACCAAAAATGGTTTTAAGACATTTTTTGTATGCTATGATCCAAGACAAATTAGTTATATTTCACAATATGAAATTACTCATCCTTTTTTAACAAAGAAATGGATTATATTTTAAACTTACAGCTACTTGATTTTAGTAAAACACTCCAGATTTGTCTTGAATTTCAACAGACCAAAAAATCAGTCCTAAAATTAAGGCAGACTGTTGATCTTTCTTTCTTTCTTTCTTTTTTTTTCTAACACCAAGCCCAGGGGCCTGCTTAACAAAAGAACTTATGCCCAAAAAATTGGCCTCAACTGTTTGACCAAAATTTTAGTCTACTTTGATCTGGCATAAGTAGTTGTCGAATTAAACTAAATATCTTGAATTTATTTTTGGTCTTGAAGTTAAGAAAAAATTTTGAACTTCATCGTTTTGTGAAACTGGCCTCAAACTCAAGCACTTCAGTGAAATCAGATTCAGAATTGCTCTTAGCCCCGTATGGACATACTGGTAGACTACGCACATGGAGCACATTCAAGTAGAATAATATCATTTTAATGGGGATAAATCACAAGCTTTCTAGACATTATCAATGTGGAGGGATGACATGACTGCCAAGTTCACAGTTCTAGACACTATACAATAAATCCAACACTTGAGGAGAAATAAAGGTGCATTCACACATGGAAAAAAGATTGGTTTTCTGTGACATTTCATTTGAAATGGGCAGAACAGAAACGCTCTTAATAACTACTTGAGTAAATGCACCCTTTGTGGTTCACAGGCATTCGGCAATAAATCTAGGATATTGCACGAGATAGGAAATAGTATAGTTTTTTATCAGACGCAATGAGGTAACCGTAATTTTTCAGGCATGAATTATTTGTGGTTTGTGGTAAAGGTATCTAGATTAGAGTTCTTCATCGTAGTATCTTTTCCTATGCTGTGCATGATTTTCACTTATGTGAACACACTGGGTATAGAAAACTTGCTGCAGGTGGACCAAATGTGGATTACAGTAACTAACTGTATTGCCTTAATTTCCTAATTGTTTTCATGGCTAGTTTCTTATAAAGTCCACCATCAAAGGAGTCCATGTTTTCATCAGCATTGGCTTGTTTGTTTGTTCATGGACAAGATATTTCAAAAAGCTCTTCACAAATTTTCATGAAATCAGGATAAACAGTTATTAAGGATGGAAAGAAGAGATTGCAATAATTATTGCATTGGCTTGTCCATTTGTTTGAGGACAAGATATTTCCATAAGTTTTTCACAAATTTTTGATGAAATTTTCAGGATGAACAGTTACTGAGGAAGGAGAGAAGATATTACAATTATTTCAACTGAATCTAACTCTCCTCACAAATGTTATTCCCTTCTGTAATTGACTTTTTATTTGGAGGTTTAGTGCTCATTTCTGGTTTCTGACAGAGGGACCTTTCACAATGAATTTTAAAGGCCTAGATGGTTAATTTCGGGGGGGGGGGGGGACTCGTGCTAAATGCAATCAGATGAACAGACTGGCACACCTATTGTTTTCAACACAGTATAATCACCAGCTTTTCTGTATTCTACTCAATGCCGCGGGGTATTCAGGGCACAGACCGTGATCACTAGATACCACCAATGGATTTTTGGATTTTTAGAATTAAGATTTTTCATGTGAACGGTGCCTAAGAAGTGTAACACTGTTATGACATAAAAGAGCATCAATGACTTCTTTCTCTTTCTCCCCAACAATGTCTGTGACTTAAATAAAGTAAAATATGATCACAAAGAGAGACAATCTGTATTTTATCATTTAAGGTAATTGTCAAAATCCACAAATGATCCCTACTAGTATTCTAAAGTGACCCTAAAGTTCCAGTGACTGTGTCCCACGACCCAGGAAAGGGCAAAAGGACAATAAAACTGAAGATAACTTCCACAAAAAAATTTACCCCTAAGAATACAACACAAACCAAGCATCAGTAGCACCAAGATTTAACTCAACACATAACTTTTTCTCATTTCCTCTCTATCCGCAAAAACAGCTGCAGGCTTGGCTTGAAACAGCAGCCCCCTAGGGAGAATTCCTTGGAACTACAAGATACAACTAGATCATAAGATAGCAGAAAACATCTTCCCCTATCATTCTTGTATCTAGCATTCCTCTGCTACCAGTTTCTACCCTATCTGATGTTTTGAAATCATTTCACAAGATTAAAGGCCAATAAGAATTACGAGATGCAATCTAAAGTTTAAGAGAAACATCTTTTCTATCTAAATTGCTTCTGTTTGAAGAAATGTATATTTGGAAGTGTAACGCCCCTATGACTAAAGATCAAGTCTCTTTCACACCATGTCTCATGTTACTATGTTGACACTACAAATTGAATATTTGATAAAACTGCAAAATGCAGAGTCTACAGCATGTGGCAAACAATTAACTTTTGATAGCTTGCAATCAATAAACGTTAGTGTGTGATGAGCACAAAATGGCTGGCATGTTGGAAAACTTAGACAATGGCAACACAGGCCTGGTCCTTGATGAGTGAATCACACTTTAAAAAATACCAGCAGCTCCAGTTTTAACATCAGACCTGCTTTGGATAATTGTTCTAGGTACATGTAGGTTTCATGGTGAAAGGTCCTATATTTTAGAAAAAGACCCCCCCCCCTTCCTTAACCCCCCCCCCCCCCCCCCCCCCCCGGGCTACTGGCCTGAACCATCTAGGTAGAAAGAACATTAGATAGAATCAGGTGTAGCCAACAATAGCAATGCATGTGAAAAAGAACAACTGAGAAAAGTCTTCAGTCTATTCATAAATCAATGGGCTTTCTATTCACCTCAATCTTACTAAGTGAAATGAATTTCTGTAGTTTTGGAAAGATAGGCTGGAGCCTACTATTTTGTTGAGCTTCATCAAACAAAAAAAAAAAAAAAACTCAGTTTGATTTTTATAATCACAAAACAGACTGAAGGCTATTTAAAAAGCTTAGTCTGGTTGAACTACCACCAAAGTTTCTAAAAGAGGGGGGCAAAAAAAGCAATCTTCTAAATAAATACTTAAACCTTCCACCATATTTGAAAGTTGTTTAAGGTCTGTGTGAAACTGCAATTTTTAACAAAATCAACCTTTGAAGTCTTAATTACTACGTATGTCTTTGTGAGATGTACGCAGTGAAGAGGATGACTTTTTTCATGTAACAATTTAATCAAGTTCTTTTTTGGAGGGAAAACATTTAAATCTGATAATGAACTTATAAGCTTTTGCTTTAATGTATCCTCGTGTGTGTTGCAGTGCGTGTGAAGTAAGGGGGAAATGATTTCTGCATGTAACATTTTCATCAAGAACAGTATGGAAAAATGGCCCAAAAAGCTTTAGATCTTGAACCTCTATTTGTGTTGAAAATGTGCGAGGGCAGTTCGTTACATCAAAGGTATATTTTCTGCAAAAGAACTCACTTTATAGTGAAAATTGAGAACCTTGCTCAAACCCACTCTTGCCTTCTAAAGCTTGGAAACCCATCGTCCTGGTTATCCAGAAATATATGTAGCCTTTTGGGGACCATATCCTATAAATCAATGTTCTATATTTCAACAACTCAAAAGTTTTATAATTAATTATGATTGACTATTAAATTCAAGTTGTTGAGCAGACTAGTTTTTTTTTTCCAAATAAAAAACTGAACAATTTTTGACAGTATCATGATTCAGTTCTTTCAAAAATAAATAATTCTGAACTTATAAAAAACATTCACTGATAAGAATACAGATTTTTGATTGAAAGAATAAGGTGAAGCCAACATTGGGCACTATGTGAAAAGTACAAATGGGAAAAGTATCTAAAACATGATCCAAATTTGTTTCATGGAGTATTTCCTGCTAATTATTCTCTCTATGCCTTTTAAGTTTGGCAAAAGTTCAGATTTCCCCTCCCTAGAAGGAAATGGCATGTTCCAGAAAAGAAAAGGCTAAAATCCCCCCCCTCCCAGCCCCTTTCAGAAACCCTTACGTATATAATCTCTAAGGTTCTCAAAGTTCAAAGAACAACAGTACATATCTTAATGTGCATCAATGCCCTCCTTGAAGATACAGCAATTTAAAACAGTTAGGGTAAAGCTAATGACCATTTACATATCAAGTGGTACAATTAACTGGACCAGTCCACTTTGAGAGACTGATAACTTAATTCCAGGCTATAAGGGAGTCATGACACCTAACAGAGCATATGCACCCCTGTCTTGCTCCCCCCCATTTCCAGCAAAATCCTGAATCCAACAATGATTTACTTATAGTCTCTCCTAAGTTTTTTTCCATGGAGCTTTGAATATAACTGCCTCCATTTTTATTACAATACGGACAAGGGCAAATAAAATGACTTTTCTTTTTTTAAAGACATATAATGTTGTATCTGTTTTTAGCATCTACAGATTTATTCTGAACAGAGGGAGACCAAATTTTTAATCTGAAAATTAAGATCAACTTTTGGACTCGAGTTCTTTTGTGAGACAGGCCAATGCAGTACACATGGCTATGAAAATCAATACCGATCATGGTACCATCAAATTTTATTTGTCCAGGCAGTAAAGGGCATACGTGTTTAACTTCTTTGGGCTCAGTGAACAAACTGAGAAGACTTGACGGATTGCTCGCTGAAGGTTAGCATGCTCATCCCTCCCTGCTTGCTGTGGGTGATGTTCTACAGCATTTCTTTTTCTCAATTTGTTTGCCTTTTCTCTGTGGTTATCAAAGGGGTGTCGGCCCGCGTGTATATAAACAGTTTATACGTACATCCAGGGATAAGAGATTCGATCATGAAAACATGTTTTTCTAGGGCATAAACAAACAAGTTAAAGTGACCCTCTGATTCCTTAACGTATTCGGTATTACATAAACCACGGCATGCAAAATACAGCCCTTGTTTACTCTTGGACATGCAACCTTTCTAAACATTAGCACTGAAAAAACTGCCCGCAGTGATGAAAGAGTATCTTATTTCTTCGCTTTCATTTCCAGCTAAAATATCAGTGCAAGTAAAAACACGATGCCTTTTCACGACTTTGTTGGCGAGGCACTATGGAAAACAAAGGCGAAATTCGACTGTTCTTTCTTATCACCCTTCTATAAAACTAACATTGGCAGATGTACTGACACATAAAATCTAGATGATTTCATAGATGCTTATGGTTGTGCTTTCATTGCTTTGGCATTGTGTTATGCATTCAAAATTGCCCGACTCTGTTTTCATTGCTTCAGTGATGTTTCAACTATTACAAACTGAAAACATTATTCAGTTTTTCATTTTGACACCCTTCTCCCAATAAAACCAACACCCCCAGCATGTATTGAAATACAAAATCAACTTGAAAATACTTTAAAACAGCTATAGCCCTCACAATACTGCAGCAGGAGTTTTAGACTTTAGTTGTGTGAAGACAAGGGCAATTCTAGAATGAAAATCAGTACCATGATACAATCTTATCAATGAGACCCTAGTGTATCTCAAACAACTAAACATATGGACAATTAATCTTGGATCACCTGACAACATCTTTTAGACCAATTTTCAGTCTAAATAGGCCCTTGTCTTAACACACATTTCCTGAATGCCAAGCTTCCTTTATTTCACTCCCCTATAAAAAGAAGTCCAAAATATATCCGATGACTCTGTCAAAAGGGAATTACACGGTCACAGTATTGCTGGCTATGGGGAGTCTCCACATTGGGTGGTCCGTTAAGGGACAGATTACAAGGATTTTGTTCTTTTGTGTTATGATATCTGGTCCTTCCTGAAGGTCGTAGGTCAAAGGTCAAAGATCGTAGGCGAGTCTGGCAGTGTTGGAGGTCTGCGGCCTCTGCACCAGGTGTCATTTTCTTATGAGATGGCAGGTGAGGGGCATTGATGTGTTGTAAGCAGTTTTTAAATGGAGATACTTATCGCTATTCTCTCCAAAGTCATGGTTAAGATATCACGGAGATCAAAATATTAGGTAGGTATAAAGACTGATGTGTTATAACTTATAAGTCATTTTGCAAGGAAGACGAACTTATTTCTGTTCCCAAGACATAGTTCAGATATCATTGAGATTATAAAAAAATACTTGGTAGGTGTATCTGAATGCTTTCAGAAATGGCACTTACACCTTAACTGGTTTTGGTGATGGTGAATTCATATTTTATTTATTTATTGTTAAGATTGCTTTTTAATCTATCAATGCAATCAATGGAAATCATGTCCACAAGCTGATACATGTTTCCATGATTTAAATAATGTAAAATAAGATTTAGGATGATAGTATAAGATAAGTCCGTAATAAATAATAAAATGAAAATTATTGTAATTCAGGGAGGAGATTCTCTTAAACTGCACATTTCAAAAGACTGCAACTTCACAAATTATTTTCGGTAAAGCTTATTTGTTCCCTGCTGCTGTTGTTATTCCAAGCCATCCTAAGCTTGAAGTCAACAATTTGTTAAACTTTCAAAAAAATTCAAAGGCTTCAGTAACATGATATTTAGAAAATCATCAACTTTTTTCCATTAGTTCAGGGTCTCCTTACCATCTAACAATCTGTGTGATCCGGATTATTTGTTAAGCTACACAATTTATCTGTTCGGTGTTTTTTTCTTATTTGTCAAGGTTTCTGATATCAGTAATAGGCAACTGGGACACTTCTCTGTATTGCTACGTCAATTTTTTATTCAATCTTCAAATCATTTCTAAAGCCCTACATTTCATCATTCCTTATTTACTAAATCTGAGTTGTTGTTTTTTTTTTTTTATCAATCCTTTAGCTCCTATTTCCTGCATTTTAAAGTGATTGTACCCAATTTGTCTCTGGCTTTGCTTCTGTTTTATTCACTTCACTTTTATTCTAGACTATTTGTAATATCTAACGCTAACTCCAGACCTTGAAGTTACATATAAGTTTGCATTTCACACAACATTTTTGACAAACTCTGACGTGAAAGTCAAGGTGGACTTGTAAAAAGCAAATTTTTAAATATTTTAACCAATCAACAATATTTTTTTTAATTATTTCATATGCTGTGACCATGTAAACAAAGAAGGACGAAAAAATTAATGTTACAAATTAATATATTAAACACTAAGCATCAACAATTAAATTTTCATTTCTATTTTCAGTTATTTATGATGCTGTGGATGTTTGTGATGCTGCTGTGGTCAGCAACAGTGAGTGGACAAGACTGCCCAGCCAGTGCCCCCTGCACCTGTCACCAACCAAGTTCACATGACCAGTGGTCACTCATTGACTGCAGTCATCAGTGGCTGGGTCCAGAAGTCCCATCCTTCCAACAGTCTCAATATGACATCGAGGCTCTGGATCTCAGCAACAACTTCATTTTGCAAATCCAATCCCATGCATTTTGGAATGTTCGTCGTGTGCGACGTCTGCTGTTACAACACAATGAGATATCACAGGTGGCTCAAGACAGCCTGTCCAATTTAGAATCACTTACTTTACTGGATGTATCAAATAACCATTTGACCAGCATACCATCTTTAAATGATATGTCACAGAGCCAATGGACACTTAATCTGTCTTATAATCTATTGACCGAGGTGTCCATTGGGGCTTTTCTATCGTCCAATCAACTAAAAAACTTAGACCTAAGTTTTAATCGCATAACTGCACTGCCTTCTCACGTCTTCGATGGGCTGCAGTTTACTTTAGAAGTGCTAAACATATCTGGAAATAAGTTGCAAGCCATCCCCATTGAAGCTCTTCAACAAATGTATCGCCTGCGCCATTTATCTGTGGGACAAAACAAAATTCACTCACTAGATGGAGCCACTGTTGGTATCCCATTTACTGGGCTATTATCATTTGATGTATCAAGCAACAAACTAGCTTCCTTACCCGAAGGTGCATTTAACAACTGGGCACACATAACAACACTTAATTTAAAGAATAACAGTATCACATCATTGCCAATAAACATCTTTGCTCATGCTGTCTCATTGGAGGCCATTTATCTATCCCATAATAATATCACGGGTCTTGAGGGAGGCATGTTTCAGAATCTCTCCAAACTTCAGTATTTGGACCTCAGAGTAAATCCAATCCAATGTGACTGTCAGTTGGTTTGGACTTGGACAACTGGACATATAGTGGACATAGGTCAGTGTGAATCAAGTCAGAGAAAGATCCCCCTGCAGGACTTTGCCCAAAAATGCACCACTTTTTCTCAGGCTTCTGCCAATATGACAGAGAAAAACCCTCAACATACAAAAACAACAGTAGTATTCACAAGAACAATTCAGTCACAAACTCTGGGAAAAAATGGTGAACAGATTCAAACATCAACAACCAAGATTCCTTCCACAGCAAGGGGTTTTAAAACGAAAAACACCTTGGTGACAAACACTGCCTCCTCTGTGATTGCTTACTCAACAGAGGGCATTCATTCTGCCACAGATTTTATAAATACGAGGCACACAACTCAGATGCCACCAGCGTTGCCCAGCAGTCGAGTCTCACCCTGGGATAATGTAATTACAATAGTGTTACCGATAATTGCCGCACTTGTCACTATTGCCCTAATTGTATTTGGATTGATTATTTATCGAAGAAAAAGAAACATGAAAAAGAATTTTCATGCCGTGAGGTACCAGGTTGGGAGAGAGACTTGTGCAGGCTGTGGACAAGGTGGCATATTTATGCCCGACTCTCAACCCCTGACATCAAATAATAATGGCTGCCATGTTGCAAATGGTTTTCATGAAGTGACATGAGGATCTAATGAAAATGCTAGCGACCTTAAGGATAATTTTTGAACACATTTTTGCCTTTCATCTCATGATTTATGCTATTTAGAATGTTTTTGCTAATGAGAATGTTTTCCTAATGAAAGTTTTTTGTGAAATTCTTGAACAAGATTTTCATTTTCATATCGTAAAAATTGAAGAATTTGTGGGATTTCAAAGATCTATTATGTATATATCTGGTTGATTGAAAACAGGAAGGAGATAATTCGCTATGTTACCTTGGCTTTACCAAATGAACCAATATTTAACAACCAAGGAAAATGTGTGAGTGGATTTTAAAATGAACAATTAAACCAATTTTGAAAGAAACAATTTACCACAATGTTTAACATTTCCTTTTTTGTAATTATTTTGAATTCATCTGAACTAAGACATCCATTGTTTTCATGACAAGAGCTGTTGTAACTGTCATACAAAACTTAAATACCCATATGTATATACAAAGATGAATGTTCAACAGCATCAAAAGTATGTTTACATCATTTTTCCTGGATATGAAAAAATAAAATGTATATACTCAAAAGAAAATGGTGGGTTATTACACAGTGACTTCAAATGAAGTTTGTTTTTCAATGACTTGTTTCTTCACTAAATGTTTTGAATATAGATCATCTTTCAGCTATATGATAATGCAACACTCATCCATCATCAAACTAGAATGATTAAACTTTAGATATGTATTCAATTGTAAGTTGTGCAATTATTAACAAACAATTTTTATAACATCCATTTTCTATAAAAATGTACCAAGCACATATTTCTGCACTTATCTAGTAGGGATTGTATCATAAAATTCCATTTTTCTACACTCATGCAGCTTTGAACTTATTCATCTTACAGACAATTCTTGATACTTATATTAGATATAAAAAAGGGCAGCACTGAAGTTATACCCCGTAAAATTTATGTGTCAATGAAAATTCGACTTGTTGCAAGAGGACACACCAGCCTCTATCTCAATGCGACCTATAACCGAGACAAAAAAGGGCAGCAATAATATAACAAAAAGGAGCCAGTTTCACTTAAAAAAAAATTGAACCTTATAATCAATTGAAAATCTCAGGCCCAAAATTTGGCCTTCACTTTAGGATAAATCGAAAGTAATCCACTTAAATAAAGTGAGTATTGGAATGAAACATAAGCCATATCACTATTCTCATGAAACAGATACAACACTTCATTTCATTGGACATGCACTGACAAATATAGGCACGCAGAAGACACAAAGTTTTGACCAAATTTCAGGCAGCAGTTCTTTTGTGAAACAGGCCCTAAATGTCAATAAAATTCCAAGGCCACACCAAGACTGAACTTAACTGTCACCTATGTCAGAGACACACTAAAAAAAGGCAGAATGGATGTAAAACCTCATAAAAACCAGGTGTCAATGGGTGAATAAATATGGACAACAATGCAGATAGAAAAAAAATTGTGAAAGACGGGGTCTGCACAATCTCATGCTCACTTTGATAATTTTCAGGCCACTTTTCTTGTCTGCTGGCTCTCATTTCCTGTGTATTGTGCAAAGACAGCACAGCTTCGTGTGCTCAAACACACCGAAGAGCATGCTCTAACAAGCGCGTTTTATCTGACTCTGGGCCCTTCAGATGGATAACCAACATGTTCACCGAGGAAGACATGACCCTGGATTTAACCTTATGAATTATTATGTGAAATTTAAATGAACTTTGATAACTTATTCAAAATGAAAATCATTCATACATTTTCATTTCACAAATTTTCTTTCATAAGCATTAAATAATTTTCCTATTGTTCTGGATAAACAACAAAAATTATATTTCCCCCAAGTCAGTCATGATGAATGTGTCTTGGGCCCTAACTGTGGATTGTGATAATGCGCAAAATTCTTCTCCTTAAGCTTCAGGAGAAAACCTGGGGGTCTATTCTAAAATTAAGGGACAAGCTAGAACATCTGGATTTCACCCAAAGAAACAAGATTAAGATGTATTTTTTGTATTTTTCTTACCAATTCTAGAAATGAAATGGCCTTTCTCTTGTTTTCTTTGCCCCTGAAAGAGATCTTCTCTTTTAGTGATACCAAACAAGAGTTATTGAAAACTGTGCAGAGTCCTCAACAACAACAGGCAAAATCAATTGTTTACAGCAATATAATGGGAAGAATTATGAACACAAACCAAGAGTGTGTTTGTGTGCATGTATGTATGCAGACGTGCCCGTGTGCATATGCTTGTGCATGCATATATGTCACACTGGTATACTGAGTAAGCGAAGTGTATGCGTGTGCATGCCTCTCAAAATACGTGCTGATATGAATGTTGCATAGCATTGTAAATGCACATATGGTAATGATTTTCCTAAATTTTAATTAACAAAGATCAACATTTATTACTATGAGATACCATGCAGTTTTATACTTAAGAGTATGCTTTATATCATACATATATTTATAAGAAGAAAACCTCTGATAATTAAATCTCAACATGCACCTGATTTAGAACTGGGCACCATAAACGTTTTTCCTCAAAAGATGGGGTGGTGCTAAGATGAATCCAGACCTTTACATGAGCCAAGTTATCTAATAATCTTTTTTTTTTTCAAAGGCCTCTGATCTTTGATGTCGGCCAGGGACGGAGCAATTATCCCTATATAACATGGGTGGCAGTCCCTTAATCATCCCATCCGTCAGGCAGTAACAACGTGGCTGTCTTGTACTGTCAGAATCAAGTCTTATTTATGATATGGCCTTGTTTTCAAGCCAACAGTATTCCTTATTCTCATACATGCAAACACAGACATTTTGCATTACACAGGGATACATTTATATTTAAATATGTACTTCTGCTTATGTTTTCTTTGATCAAGGTCAACGTTATCGGCATTTTTAGCATGATACTAACAATTTGGCCTTAATCAGGCTTTAATGTAAATCAAAAATATTTAAAAGGTTTTAAAAGGTATTTCTTTTCTTGTCACAGTCATTAATTCTTTTTTTTTTCTTTTTTGCCTTGGTCAAATGCTTTTATTTTCCATCAAACCATTACCTACCATAATTACTTTTTTAGCTTTGGTTTTAATCCAAAATTTCCTCCACATCAATGACAAATTGGCAAAATGGTTAGAAAAGGAAGCAATCATATAAATTCATTTTTTATCATCCAAAAAACATTATATTTTTATTTTAACAATTACAGACACCAGTTTGTCTGGTATGACAGGGTCCTTTCTCCATTTTCCCAAAGACAAATTACATTTCACTTAGCTAGTTAGAAAATATCAATATATTTTTTTCATCCCAGTTAAAAGAGGGACAACTGTGATTCCATCCCTTTTATCTTTCACACCTATCACTCTTATTCCCATTACACAGGTGTTCTTTTATAGCCTGATGCAGCTAAGCAGGTGTAAAGGTCATAGAATTAGTCTTCTTCTTAATCTTAATCTTCTTATATTTTGCCAACCAAAGCAAATTGCAGTTTCTCGTATGTCTGGGTCTTATTCTTATTTGCTGGTACAAATGATATGTTCATTATCCTCATCAAACCAATTTTAAAATGAAATAAATGCTGAACATCACCCTAATTGAATTATATTAACAGTACCTATAAGACTTCTAGAGTAATTAAAAAAAACCTGCAGTTGCATTGCTTTGTTCACATTAGAAAATATTATATCAGTTTGTGTGTGATTTGAGAATTTTCCATAGTTTTGTTTCAACAATTTTCTTGAAAGTAGCAATATAGATGCTACTAAATTAACTTACCAACACATAAATCCTCTTTTTAAATAAAAAATGAAGATTAACGATTTCCTTTTCTAGCTGGTTGGTCTTAAATCAGTGTAACTGGTCAAAAATATCAGTTACACCCTTAAAAGACCATCACAGGTAAAACGACAGCTCATTAATCAATAAGTATCCATGTTACTTACTTACAACTGAAATATGACATGTAATTTAAAACAAGCATCATCATGATTTAGACTAAAAAAAATAATAATTATAGTTATAATTCATTCCTTTCCATGGCAGTCCCAATATAATGTGGTGAGTGGTCTGAAAACACGCCATCTGGTTATAAGTATTTTATCTCCACAACAATCATTATTTTCAGTGGTAAGTATTTAGAGAGTCACCTTCATGCCAAGTGCCATCTAACTGGCAGTTTATAGTCTAAGAGTGTAATTTCTTTTATAATTGCATCACTGTCAACAGGTTTAAATATAATTTATATACCTAAAATATAATTCTGTCATATTTTGGGTTAGCCAATGCTTGAACCATTGCAAAAGGGTATAAATATCATTCACACCCCTAAATTTTTGTTTCACTGGTATTGAATCTTAGATATCAGTGTTGGCTCATTTTGTCATATTTGGTTGCCCTACTCAAACGCCACATATATTATAACCTAAATGATTTTATTTACGACTGTGTTTACACATGCAATTTAAAAGTCCTTCAAATTAAAACAAGTATATTAAAATAAAGACTTACATTATCTATTAATTCTTGTAACTGTTGTTTCCCTTGTAGGTCCCGCAGGCCAGGGGTATTCGGACTTGAAATGTTGATGACAAGATAGTCGGCTACCTGACCAAACTTATGGACTCCTTCCACATAATCAGCGACTGCATTCTCGGATTCCTTATTTTTGCCTAGATTTATGCCAAGTATTCTTCTGGGACCTGATGAATCAGATACATATATATAATATAATTATATTGTTAACATTAATGGCGCTTTATGTTTTATGCTTTATGTTTTCTTTTTACTGGTGTAAACACAACTTTGAGGTAAAAAAAAGTTTTTTTTCTTTATCAAGAAAGACATGAGGATCAGGATGACATAAAGCACATCACATGGCCATCCGCACGTTAAGTTTTTAAAGCAGTTGTTACAGTAGTAGTGTAAGCAACACAAGTAAAATTAACAGCAGAAAAATACTAAATTTGTTTGGATAGACTTTTAACAAAGAAAACTGCTGTCCAATATTGCGCCTGTTTTATAACAAGAAAGAAATGGCTACTGAACAATTATAATAGTAACTTTATGTTAGTGAACCTCCACAAATTAATCCTGAATATCTAGCTCAAAATTTTCTGCCTTTGAGTCAAATTTGAGATATGACCAACTCTTAGTTTTATCATCTATCCAAATTTGTTGAAATAAATTGCTATTAATCCATTTTTGAGTTTTAAGTTTTGTAAGCTGTAAGTTTTTTCTAAGACACTATTTCAATGGAGATGGAAACTAGTGAATTATTAGCACACTGAAATAGAACAGTGATCAAGAGCAATGTTAAAGTATCCAGGAAAAAGACGTAATTGCTATATGAAAGGTCTGATGCTCATTTAATGCCCTTCAGTGAAAGTTCTTCAGTGAAATTCTCCTGCTGAACAGACAGGGAACTGCAATTTCACATCACATTACACAAGCACCCGTTACTATTATTGACACAGACTGTTCATGTGTAGGCAGGGCACAGATGCTGACCCTACAGGTTTAGGCATCAGTGTACCGTCTTACACAGGTTAAAATACTTTATATTTCATGTGGATTTTTAAATGTTGTTTATGTTTTGTCCTGTTATGTTAACATTGGAAAACTTGCTTATTTTGCACACATTTTTCAATTTTCTTTTTTCTTTTCTACTAACACACACACACACACACACACACACAAGCACTCTCTCTCTCTCTCTCTCTCTTTCTCTTCTCCACAAATCCCACCCTTCAAACAAAATGTCCCTCCTACCATTCCAACATAATTTTTTTAATTTCTTTGAGATTTATTCTTCTTTTCATTTTATTGTGTTTCTCTAGATTTCTTATCATTTTTCCCTTTCTATACTGTTATGTTGATGAATCTGCAAACACACACATAGAGGCACATGCACGCACTTTTAAACTTACCCTTTCTATATATACTATAAGGTTGATGATCTTGCAAACACACACAAAACATACACATGCACTTTTAAACTTACCCTTTCTATATATACTATAAGGTTGATGATCTTGCAAACACACACACACATAAAACTCGCACACACACATGTAAGCTTACCCTTTCTATTTGTATTGTGAGGCTGAAGATTTTGCAAGCACATGTGCACTCACACACACACACACACACACACACAGAGGATGGGCTACTCTCACCAATGAAAATGTAAGTCATCATAAAGACAATCATGATTTGCTTTACGGGGACAATTACCCCCNAAAACACATTATATTTTTATTTTAACAATTACAGACACCAGTTTGTCTGGTATGACAGGGTCCTTTCTCCATTTTCCCAAAGACAAATTACATTTCACTTAGCTAGTTAGAAAATATCAATATATTTATGTGATTCCATCCCTTTTATCTTTCACACCTATCACTCTTATTCCCATTACACAGGTGTTCTTTTATAGCCTGATGCAGCTAAGCAGGTGTAAAGGTCATAGAATTAGTCTTCTTCTTAATCTTCTTATATTTTGCCAACCAAAGCAAATTGCAGTTTCTTGTATGTCTGGGTCTTATTCTTATTTGCTGGTACAAATGATATGTTCATTATCCTCATCGAACCAATTTTAAAATGAAATAAATGCTGAACATCACCCTGATTGAATTATATTAACAGTACCTATAAGACTTCTAGAGTAATTTAAAAAAAAACCTGCAGTTGCATTGCTTTGTTCACATTAGAAAATATTATATCAATTTATGTGTGATTTGAGAATTTCCCATAGTTTTTTTCAACAATTTTCCTGAAAGTAGCAATGTAGATGCTACTAAATTAACTTACCAACTCATAAATCCTCTTTTTAAATAAAAAATGAAGATTAACGATTTCCTTTTCTAGCTGGTTGGTCTTAAATCAGTGTAACTGGTCAAAAATATCAGTTACACCCTTAAAAGACCATCATAGGTAAAACGACAGCTAATTAATCAATAAGTATCCATGTTACTTACTTACAACTGAAATATGACATGTAATTTAAAACAAGCATCATCATGATTTAGACTAAAAAAATAATAATTATAGTTATAATTCATTCCTTTCCATGGCGGTCCCAATATAATGTTGTGAGTGGTATGAAAACACACCATCTGGTTATAAGTATTTTATCTCCACAACAAGCATTATTTTCAGTGGTAAGTATTTAGAGAGTCACCTTCATGCCAAGTGCCACCTAACTGGCAGTTTATAGTCTAAGAGTGTAATTTCTTTTATAATTGCATCACTGTCAACAGGTTTAAATATAATTTATATACCTAAAATATAATTCTGTCATATTTTGGGTTAGCCAATGCTTGAACCATTGCAAAAGGGTATAAATATCATTCACACCCCTAAATTTTTGTTTCACTGGTATTGAATCTTAGATATCAGTGTTGGCTCATTTTGTCATATTTGGTTGCCCTACTCAAACGCCACATATATTATAACCTAAATGATTTTATTTACGACTGTGTTTACACATGCAATTTAAAAGTCCTTCAAATTTAAAAAAGTATATTAAAATAAAGACTTACATTATCTATTAATTCTTGTAACTGTTGTTTCCCTTGTAGGTCTCGCAGGCCAGGTGTATTGGGACTTGAAATGTTGATGACGAGATAGTCGGCTACCTGACCAAACTTATGGACTCCTTCCACATAATCAGTGACTGCATTCTCGGATTCCTTATTTTTGCCTAGATTTATGCCAAGTATTCTTCTGGGACCTGATGAATCAGATACATATATATATATAATATAATTATATTGTTAACATTAATGACACTTTAGAGAGCAATTGCATCTGCAAGAAAATGAAAAAGCAGGAAAAAATCAAAGAATGTTTTTTTACCTATGGTGTAAACACAACTTTGAGATATAAAGCAAGTTTTTTTTCTTTCTCAAGAAAGACATGAGGATGGTGTAAAGCACATCACATGTCCATCCTCACTTTAAAACTTTAAAAGCAGTTGTTACTGAAGTGTAAGCAGCAACTGAAATTAACAGCAGAAAATAACTTAATTTGTTTGGGTAGACTTAACAAAGCAAACTGCAGTCCAACATTGCACCCGTTTTATAACGAGAAAGAAATGGCTACTGATCTTGACTAATTATACTAGTAACCATAAGTTAGTGGACTTCCACAAATTAATCCTGAATATCTATCTCAAAAATTTCTGCCTTTTGAGTCAAGATATTAATCCTGAATATCTATCTCTATTTTTGAGTTATGACCAACTCTTAGTTTTATCATCTATCCAAAGTTGTTGAAAAAAAAATACTATTAATCCATTTTTGAGTTTAAGTTTTTCAAGTTGTAAGTTTTTTCTAAGACATTATTTCAATGGAGATGGAAACTAGCACACTGAAATAGAACAGTGATCAAGAAAAATGTCTAAGTATCCAGGAAAAAGACGTAATTGCTATATGGAAGGTCTAATGCTCATTTAATGCCCTTCAGTTCTTCAGTGAAATTCTCCTGCTGAACAGACAGGGAACTGCAATTTTACATCACATTACACAAGCACCCGTTACTATTATTGACACAGACTGTTCATGTGTAGGCAGGGCACAGATGCTGACCCTACAGGTTTAGGCATCAGTGTACCGTCTTACACAGGTTTAAATACTTTATATTTCATGTGGATTTTTAAATGTTGTTTATGTTTTGTCCTATTATGTTAACGTTGGAAAGCTTGCTTATACACACACATTTTTCAACTTTTTTCTTTTCTACTAACCCACACACACACACACACACACACACACACACACATGTAAGCACTTTCTCTCTCTCTCTCTCTCTTCTCCACAAATCCCCCCCTTCAAACAAAATGTCCCTCCTACCATTCCAACATAATTTTTTTAATTTCTTTGAGATTTATTCTTCTTTTCATTTTACTGTGTTTCTCTAGATTTCTTATCATTTTTTTCCCTTTCTATGCTGTTATGTTGATGAATCTGCAAACACACACATAGAGGCACATGCACGCACTTTTAAACTTACCCTTTCTATATATACTATAAGGTTGATGGTCTTGCAAACACACACAAAACATACACATGCACTTTTAAACTTACCCTTTTGATACATAATGTAAGGTTGATTATCTTGCAAACACACACACACATAAAACTCGCACACACACATGTAAACTTACCCTTTCTATTTGTATTGTGAGGCTGAAGATTTTGCAAGCACACTCGCACACACACACACACACACACACACACACACACACACACACAGAGGATGGGCTACTATCACCAATGAAAATGTAAGTCATCGTAAAGACAATCATGATTTGCTTTACGGGGACAATAACCCCCCCTCCCCCCNGAAAATATTTTTTTTTTTGAAATCACTTATTCAAAAAAGAACACAAAGTAAATTTTGGAGAGATCACATGAAATTTACTGCGATTTACACCCCCAACTGACTAAAATGTCTGACAATTTTAAAACAAAATGTGCTAAAAGCCCTGCTTAACATTTTCAGATGTGACTTACTGTCAAACACTGATTATTCTAAGGTCCAATAAAATGTCACATTTTTCTAAAATTTGAAAAATTTTAATTTTGCCTTCTAACCACGTGGGTGACCTGAGACTACACAACCTACGTACACCAAGCAGAAATCGTCTCTCACGTTTCAGCAGATGGCTTTCTATTTATCACATTTTAAACCTTAATCACAGGAGAATAGAATTTTATAAACTTAAATTGGATAAATAGTGTGTTGTTTGTGTTACTAAAAGAGGACAACTTGCTGTAATGGATTACATAATGTCATCATGTTTTCATATCCAGTTACTAGTACCCTGAACACATTTTATAAACCCTTTTTTTCTATGCAACTATTTTCTTTAATCATACTGATATAATTTGCTTAGGAGGGCCCAAGCAGAATTTTTCAAAGTTATTACTCAGGCCTACCCAACTACCAGACTCGGCACTGAATGATCCCGAATTCACCGTTAGATCGGACCACACTACCAGTTTTCAAGGTGTGCGTCAGAACGCGCTTCTAAGTATCCGCTGCGACACCGCTCTTGCCTAGGACGCGATGTGATAGTGATTTTTCTCAACGGGGTTGGAAAGGAGTGCATCTCACCTCAAAATTTTTTACAGGGTATGATACAGTGAAGTGCGTACTGACACACACCTTGAAAACGGGGGTAGTGTGGTCCAATCTACTGGTAAATTTGGGATCATTTGGTGTTGAGTCTGGTAGTTGGGTAGGCCTGTCACTGGACAATGGATTCACATTTTTCAGACTTCATATGAGTTGCTTAACAGTATCTACATAGACTATTTCTCTCCAAAATATCATTTAGTTTTATTAAGTTGATTCAACCAGTCTGTCTGTAAAAACCTTATTTCAGGTTTGTGTTATCTGAAACACTTTAAATTAAAGAAACTACAAGTACAGGGTGGCAACATATCATCACATCAAATTGTCAAATCCACTGGAAACATACTTTGATCCCAATTATGTGAAATTATTTTGACAAGAAGGTGGTGTTTGGCAGTAAATTTTTTTTTAATTATTTTTTCTTTATTTTTCTTTTTTTTCTTCTTTATTAATCCTTAATGCAGATTTTTACAGCCTCTCTCTCCCTCTCTTTCTTTTAAACACATACACACACACACAAACACTTTAAATATATGCAAACAATTTATACTTATTTTCTTGATTTCATATTGATTTCATAAGAATGCTACAGCTGAGTTTAGCAAAATTCTCCCCTAACGCACTCAAAACCAGAGCAAACTTCTACTGACTGTATTCAAAAATCTTATAATTACAATAAATAAATTTGTGCTCACTGCTTATGGATAAAAGGAGGACAATGATGAAGTCGTTTTATTATAAATTAGAAAAGCATGTTTAGTAAGCAACCATAATAGGCATAATCTTTTTAAAGCATAGGGTAAAAACATTTTATAAATTCTGCTCAGAACATTTAGTGAGAGTATGCTGAATATTTGTTATACAATAAAACATCTCTGCTATTAGAAAAAAAAAGCACAGAAAAGGAACAAAGCAGTAAAACAGAAGCCTTTTATTATAAGTGAAAACTTTAGGGCAGCCACTCAGCTCCCAAAATTAAACAAAAGAAACTAAAAGTATAAAATTTTGAGACACATACCTTTAGGTGGAGTGCGCTCAAACTTTGGAAGCCACAAGGCAAAGAAATTTTCATTCAAAAAGTTTCTTTCATCAGGCCACCCTGGGGGTTCTACAAATGTAGATAGGCCACAGTCAACCATACACTTGCTAACACATCAGAGGTATCGACTGAACAGACACTTTTTTCCTGGCTAACAGTTCTTTCAAAATAAAGTTCTTAATGCACCAGGATGCAGAATGGGATGACCCCAAGTTTTATACACGGGTTATGTTCTGAGAAGATGTTCAAAAGTCAATTTGTTTGTAATTCTAACACAACTATCCTACAGAAGAAGTACTTTGTAAGTATGTTGCTTTTTTAAAAGTTCATATATGAAATGCAGCGCTGTACATGAAATAAAGATTATAAAAAAGTGATATTAAAGCAAACATTTAAGTTCATAATCTTTCTGGAAAATGTGGCACAACTGGTTTCCTGACTTAATTGTTCATAACACAGGGCAAATCTCCTTCGTTTCAATAAGTGTCAACTCCATGAAAATAACTTGTTCAGTCAATATCTCTTAAGTGTAGCAAGTTAGAAGAAATTTTACTTATATTCAGCCTAGGTTTACAGAAATTATTTCTATTTAAAATCTTAATCAATTTCTTATGTGCATACATACCTAAATAATGTTTTACTCTGTCATCGGATTCCGCAATTTTGTCCTTGTTCTCTGTTTCAGTGTAATTCACATCACTGCCCTCACTTTTTACTTCAGTAACTGCATTTGTTTCAGCAGTATTAATTAATAGTCTATCTTCTTCACTCTCTCTCCAAATTTTTAAGCGATTATATACTTGATCATGACCATGACTGTTAAATCCATATCTGTAAATAATAATATTGAAAATAATAATAATAATAATAATATTAATATTTTTATGTCACTCTTTATTTGTATCATAATTCTGAAAACTGATGTTTTGATAAAAATTTATTATACCTGATAAGGTAATCAAAAAGTTCTTGGCAGCAATTTGGGATCATGCCTGCCAAGAAAACATGTTTTTGATACGTAACATAACATTACATGAGAAGATGTAAAAATATGACAATTAGGTGTTTGATAATTGGTGACTGAAACCTTGGAAAAAAACATAATGGGCTATGAGTGTGTTAGGTGTGCCATAGTGTGTTGAGGCAATTATGACATTAGTGAAAAGATTGCCTTTATCTTGAAATGGCAGTAACATAATGCTGTTTTGCAAAAAAAAAAAAAAAAAAAAAAAAAATATATATATATATATATATATATATATATATATATATATTTTTTTTTTTTTTTTTTTTTTTTTTTTTCTCCCAGGGCTAATTTGCTCAAGTGTGTGTGTGTGTTTGTGTGAATGAGTGAGTTTGTGCATGTGTATGCAAACATACATCACAGGCAGATCTGTACACATAAAATACACCTGTTTATCACAGCTCTATCTTCTTTCAGCCTGAACACCCTGGGTTTTGGGTTTCCATCCTGGGGTTTGGGAGTGACACTTCCGACTTCTACAAAGCCAAATCCCATTTTATACAGTCCATTCATTGCTTCACCATGTTTGTCAAACCCGGCTGCCACGCCCACTGGGTTGGTAAAATGCTGTCCCCAAACTGTGGTTGCCTAGGCAATTAATTATTATTTGAAAATATTATAGATTACAATTAAGTGTCATTTAATGCCTTTTTAACATTTAGTCACCTTCATTCGGAGTTGACTGTCAGTTAAGCAAATAGGTCTGACACATTATAGTGTATTTATTAATCACAGGATTAAATAACTAAAAATATACGCATTTATTCAACGTAGCCATTAATGACCCTCAGAACTCACAAGTCTTGGTGTGTCAGCATATTTTGACTTGGGTACTAGACCATACTTTGCTGCTTTGATGGCGAGGTTGTGGGCAGTCTCAGCACCAAATACTCTCTGAATAAACGGCATAAAGCGTTCTCTATAAAACCTCTCATTACCACTCCAAACCAATGTCGCCCAGAATATGGCTGTTGAACCACCAACGATAATTGCTGCAGATTTTATTTTGCTCATCTTTGGTGTCTGTTGAAAAAGCAAATGCAAAAGAGCATTAATCAACTTACCTATTAAAACAACATAAATCGTAGTCAATTGCTAGATATGAAAGCATTATAAAACAGTTGACAAGAACAGTGTTATTGTAATATGTAAGGCACAGGGGGCAGAAGGAACAGGGGTGAGGCATGTGACCCACTGTGCCCCCTGCACATGCCAGTGTAAATACACTTTTCAAACTTCTGTATATGATTACATGGTTCACACCAAGTATTCTCAACACATTGCTGCATCTATGCCAAGCAAGATCTTTGGCATACCTATTCTGAACCAGAATTATGTGTAGAAACTGCAATAATATAACAAGATATCATGGGCCATGTAATATGCCTGCCTTAATCTTTGGATAACCAGATCCTTAGAAAGCTGAAACATTTTCTATGAATATATATAGTAAGAATGTTTACTACAGAATGAAGATATATATATATATATGTATTCTCCAGGACACAGGCTTTCATAGAATAGCTGCCCTCCTTAACAATAATGGTCACATCGGCAGCTGGAGGGCCACCACATAAGGATATGCGTCAAACAGCAAAATTAGGGCTGGTTCAAATTGAAACTATCATTCCACAGAGATCATGGGGACTCTCTCTGAATGCTATCAGATTAACATGCCTCTCTTAGAAAAAAACAGATAAGCTGGTGATTATATGAGTACATTAGAAACAAGAAATTAATGTGTTCACATTTAGGGAGAGACCACGCAAAGTTGGATAAATCTTCGTAAAATGATAATTTCAATGGGGATGAGCCCTAACATAGACATACATACACACACATATTTTTATTTTATTTTATTTATTTATATATTTATTTATTTTATTTATTTATTTATTTTTTTTGGAGGGTTAAATTTAAAATCAAACACATTCTGCACATTGCATGCAATTTTCTAAGATAACCTTTATTCAAGAATAAATCAAATATACTTTGCAATATCATAAATAAAGTAACCTGAGCTTTAGCCCATACGATACTAGTTTCTAGGTAAGTTATGAAACTCCCGAGCCACACTTTGGCATTGACTTGTCCTTCACGTTGAATCTCAAAGATTTGCAATAGCAAGGGTCTGTGCATAGTATTGTACGTAATACCAGGTACAAGTTAAAACATTAAGGCTTGAAAACACCTTTTATACTTACAGGTGCCGACGAAGGCGGCCGGTGCATATTCGGATGCACATTCATGCTCCCATGTGTAGTTTTCAAAACACAGCTAGGCACCCAATAATATTGTATAGTTGCGTACTTCTTATTTTGTGTTAATGGTCAATTGGCTGTAAGTAAGAGTTGTAAAAAATAGTTTTATTTGAAATTGTAAAATTCTGATAAATTTTGATGGCAGATATTGGATGATTAACCTGTTCAATGATTCAAAACTATTTGGTAAAACGACAGTCAACTCTGAATGCAGACGACTCACTTTGGTAAACAGTGCTTGATAAACAAGAACCTGTTATGCATTTTTAGACAAATTTGATAGAAAAGCGACATAGGCCCACACAAAGACCATAAACTCCATTACTTTTAGGATACAAAATTAATATTGTATCCTAGATTAGTTTTATTTTCCTTATGTGCTCAGTTAATGCGAAAAAAAAACATTTTGCGAGATAATTATTAATGCTCTCGCATCAACAATTCATCGAGGTGAATTTGCGAACGTCGAACTGTTGACGTAGGCCTACATGTGTACATTAATGTAACAACAGCGTTTGGGGGGTGAAACTGAAACATCACTTGTAAACAAATCTCCCTCACCTGATCAGCTAACAACACCTTTTTGTGACGACGTTACTGACTTTGTCTTGGTGGCGCGAGGTAATAACTAAACAATTCCATGTTTTCCCATATTCTTTATTATCGCTTTCTAACTTCGCTATCTACAGTTTATTCCTCTACGTTCAACTTCTTACATCGTTCTCCCCGTCTACATTACATTCTTCGCTTAAGTACAATAAGGTCGTGTCAATCAACTAAAGTAACACTACAAAACACTCCCCGCTCTTATTCGCTGCATGCTGTCACTTACTAACATTACATTATCTCCCGGGGACGATATGCCTGTCCCTAGGCATATTTTAAAATAAAAATTCACATTGAAATAAATTTTAAACACTCCATTTTTCTTTTACCATAAATCCATGCAAAACTAAACTAAGTACATAGATATTATATAAGAAACTTATGATAAAATAGAAATACGTTGGACATGAAACCCAAAATATAACTCAAAGGAAGATAGATTGACAACTCTTCAGAAAATATGGTTGTTCGTGGATGTGCATTTACATGTTGTCATGTGTGGCCCAAGAGTACAGATACTTTTGAATGTTTTCTCTGCGCAGATGTTTAAATCTGTTACTCTCTTATTATGGCTCTGACACATTTTCATATACGGTTTCTTTCTTTCGTTTGTCATTTTCGATATTGATGGAGTGCACTACGTGAGACAATAGGGCCGATCGCTCCCTGTCCAATGAACAGCAGTCACCACAACGTTGCGACCAGCGCATCGTTCATGATGAAGTACTTGTTCATCATCATATATATCCACACTGTAGCGCTCTCTTTTGAAAGNTGAGCATTTCCTTCAAGGACTTGGTCCATTCTCCACTGTCTTGATTCAAACTTCAATCTGGTAGGTCTACTTCTAATTTTCTCTGCCGTCTGGATCCAATATTTTGTTTCTATCCTCACTGTACAGTTTTCACCTATATAACAAGTAAAAAAATTAATAGTCATGAAAATAATTATTAAAGTCATCATCAACACATCTATAACAGTGATTTATTTACATACATACATATTAGACTGATGACAACACAGAAAATTGACATGACTAGTCATATTTTTTTAACCGAAATCTACCTGGATACACAACAGAAAGATAATGAAGAAGAACAAATGATAGATGCACTGATATTGACAGTGAGCTTGTACTAATTACCTGTACAGTACACTAGCCCACCTCCGAGATTGTATCAGATAACTGCTTGAACCAGGTGACAAATTTATCTCCCCAATAAATGACTCAGGTGAACATAATTACATAATGACCACATTAAGGTTTTGTATTTGGTCTTGTATTTAAGAAAATATCGTGTAACATACCTTTTTATCAGCTCTTCCTTTTTGCCTGATGTGTGGGCATCCTACATTTTAACCAACTTTACAACTCCGGCATCGTTGTCGCCTCAAATGGCTTGTTTAATATCGCCCCCGGCATGTCTTATGCTTCCATCATGTGTTCCTATCGCTGTCAACAATGCTTCCGGTACTATTTTGACCCCTGCAGTGCACAATTCCGGTCATGCGCACATCGCACCTTTCGAATAATGCAAGTCGTATATATGATTACATGGTTCACACCAAGTATTCTCAACACATTGCTGCATCTATGCCAAACAAGATCTTTGGCATACCTATTCTGAACCAGAATTATGTGTAGAAACTGCAATAACATAACAAGATATCATGGCCCATGTAATATGCCTATGCCTTAATCTTTGGATAAACAGATCCTTAGAAAGCTGAAACATTTTCTATGAATATATATATATATAGTAAGAATGTTTACTACAGAATGAAGATATATATATATATATATATATATATATATATATATATATATATATATATATATTCTCCAGGACACAGGCTTTCATGGAATAGCTGCCCTCCTTAACAATAATGGTCACATCGGCAGCTGGAGGGCCACCACATAAGGATATGGGTCAAACAGCAAAATTAGGGCTGGTTCAAATTGAAACTATCATTCCACAGAGATCGTGGGGACTCTCTCTGAATGCTATCAGATTAACATGCCTCTCTTAAGACAATGAGCCCTAGGATAGACATGCACACACACACACACACACACACACACACACACACACATTTTTATTTATTTATTTTTATTATTATTTTGGGGGGGGGGGGCGGGGGAGGGTAAACTTAAAGTCAAATGCATTCTGCACATTGCATGCAATTTAGTAAGAAAACCTTAATTCAACAATAATCCAAATATACTTGGCAATATGATAAATAAAGTAACCTAAGATTTAGCCCATACGATACTAGTTCCTATAGGCAAGTTATGAAACTCTCGAGCCCCACTTTGGCATTGACTTGTCCTTCAGGTCGAATCTAAAAGATTTGTAATAGCAAGGGTCTGTGCATAGTATTGTACGTAATACCAGGTACAAGCCAAAGCATTAAGGCTTGAAAACACCTTTTATACTTACAGGTGCCGACGAAGGCGGCCGGTGCATATTCGGATGCACATTCATGCTCCCATGTGTAGTTTTCAAAACACAGCTAGGCACCCAATAATATTGTGTAGTTGCGTACTTCTTATTTTACATTTATTGGCATCTGGCTGTGAGTAAGGGTTGTAAAAATAGTTTTATTTGAAATTGTAAAATTATTTTATATATTTTAGTGGTAGATATTGGATAATTTACCTGTTAAATGCTTTAAAACTATTTGGTAAAAGTGATAGTCAACTCTGAATGCAGACGACACATGTTGATTTTGTATCCTTGACATGTAGTTTGATTTGAAAAGAGATTGGTACATTATTGCTCTTGAGAATTGTGTTCCTTATGTGCTCAGTTAATGCGGAAATAAACACTCATTTTACGAGATAATGCTGTTGCACCAAAAATACATCGGGGTGAATTTGCTAACACCGAACTGTCGTAGCCCTACATGTGTACATTGTAACAAAAGCGTTTGGGGGTGAAAATGAAACATCACTTGTAAACAAATCTCCCTCACCTGAACAGCTAACAACATCTTTTTAAACACAACAATAAACTCTAAAATCTAGATCCATTTTTTGGAGGTTTACTGATGATTTTAAACAGTAAAGAGGCGAAAAAGGTCTTAAACATGTCATGCAGTGGCGGATTTAGGGGGGTGTCAGGGTCCCGGGGTACTGACCCCACCCCCCTTCGATTTCTGAAAAAGTCACACCAATGGTCCCCTCTTGAAATTACAATTTTGACTAGCTGATTAATAGTTCTAAACTGTTCCAAATGGCACCGCTAGCCCTCTAAGGCTCTATTCCCATAGATTTTAGATCGATCTATCCCCTCTGGGAGTCTCACTTGATTACTTTCAGATAATCCGACTTAAATGTCCGTCCCGCCTGCTACAAGCTGTAAGAGGGTAATTAACTTTCGTGTCCGCCCGGCTGACAGCTATTTAGCGTGAACCCCCAGGGAGTTAGGTCGATCTAAAGTAGGCTAGGTCGATCTAATCTATGGAAATGGGGTGTAAAATACCAAAAATTTTCGAACCCTACGCCAATTAAGGGAGGGGGATGCATGTCGGCTTTGCATCCCCCCCCTTCAAATAGTCCTGGAACCGCCCTTATTATGGGACTTGGCTATGTAGCCTTCAGTCCGTGAAAAGTAGCCTACAGAGTAAATACACGGATACAAGAATAAAAAAAAACGGCCTTTAAATTGAGTTAAAAAAGGTAGGCTACGAATTAAAATAACTCATATTAGAAACGAAACTAGAAGAATAGTAGCCTAAACTACTGTGACATTATTACTGATATACACTCGCAAACTTTCGAGGGAGGCCGAGGCTATATAGCTAGTTGGACACCGGGATAAATTGGACGCCCCCTCCCCCTTCATAGCTTTCTACTTGTACAGTAGATCTCATATACTAGTAGGGCCTACCCAGTAGGGGCCTACGTGTTACTATAGTGTCCGATATATGTCTATCTGAAACTTGGGGTATTCATTGCTGTTGTGGTTGTGTAAGATGTGCAACAGTCACAAAAGGCCTAACTGCAGTGGTTGAGATGTCAAAGTGGGAGATTTAAAAAAGCAGCTGGTATTACCTGGACATCTATTATTAATGTAAGTCAAAGGCCACGTACGCAATCGTTTATATAAATAACATGTTCATCATCATCATCATCATCATCATTTAGAGCCTATAGTGTTCCACTGTTGGACAAAGGCCTCAGCATGCTTTTTCCATTGTTTCCTATCCTGAGCCTCAGATTTCCAGTTTGGCCAAGGTTTCTTCTTCCAAGACTTCCAGTAGTCATCTAATTCATCCCTCCATCGTTTGACCGGCCTTCCTCTTTTTCTTTGTCCATACCTTGGGGTCCATTCTGTAAGCCTGATTGTCCACCTATTGTCCTTCATTCTTTTGACATGTTATGGCACGCCAAAGCGGAAAAAAT